ACAAGCGTAACAAATATATTATAATCTTCGGTTATTAATGCCCTCATATTACTCTATTTGTTATATTCCAAATATGGCTGATTTTTTTGTGTTGGTTCATTTCAATACTTAATTAATTAATTTTTCATTAAATTGTCTCCAAAGCCGGCAAATTTGTGAACCACCATTAAGAAAAAATAATAGATATCAGATTATAAACTTACTGGTGTATAGTAATTATTTATTTTATACTTACTACTATATAATATATACTATATTATTATATACTTGGGATTATACTTTTTGGAAGAGTTACATCCTGGAACAGAACAAAAAACTATCGTATTATACACATATAAATACTAACTAGTAACTAGTGATAGTAACTAGTGATAACCATCACTTAAGTTTACTTATGAAGTTGCTAAAATGTATTCGCGCACAGTTTACTGGGCCGTTATCGTAAACAGTTCTCTGTCTACGGCCGTTATGTACCGGTAGCTAAAATATGTTTAGTCTCGCTGACAACTTCACTCGCTTCCTCTTTCTAACACACGAAAGTACAATAAGGCGCGGTAGCTCTCTTTTACTCCTAAAGCGCTTATTACATTATACAATTTTTAGAAAATCTAATTAGGAACGTAAATTGGAAGCTAGTGATCACATTACACTAAATTGAATTCTAAATCGTGACGAAGCGCATTCGTAAAGAAGTATCGACGGGGTTGCACATTTGATCGATGGCGCCTTATTTATCAAAAAAGCAGAAAATAAGACTTGCCTTAGCCGTGGTGGGAACAATGGATATTAAAAAAAGAGAAAAGAGTACTTGTCATTGAGAAAAAAACTGTCCAATATGAATATAATTATATATTTTTAGATTCTAATCAGTTTTTATTTTATAGGATAGGGTGACAAACTAGCACACAGTCCACCTGATGGTAACTGGTTGCTGCGGCCCATGGGAATCTACATCTATCTCCGATTATAAATCAAAATGCAGATGCGTTATCACCTGTGACGACTAAGATGGAATATAATATATTCCATCTTAGTTAAATAAGTTATAATAAAAAGGGTCTCCGGTTCTCTACACTCGCCATACGAAATACAGCAACATTAAGCTACTATTTTACGCTGGTATTCTGTGAGAGCGTGGTCCTTCCTCGGTCAAGCCGATCTATTCGTGCTACAACTATACTACTAATATAACTGCAGCATGGCTCTACCACCTATAAAACAGTTTGAATATTTGTTAAGTTTGTTATCCAAACAAGACGATGTCAAGATATTTCGATAAAGTGTGAGTGCCAAAGAATGTTTGATGGTGACATTACGTTTTATAGCCACCGGAAATTAATATTAAGATTTAAAGTACTGCTCTCTGATACTGATATCAGAACCGCTTCTATCAAAACTTTAAGACATCCGCCTGTATCAAAGCGCGGGCGCCGACTGGTTGTTCTAAATCATAACGTTGCGATTACACTGTCCTAAATTGTAAACAATTTAGGAAGTAGTGCGGTCGGGACCTCCAATTTGTCTAAATCGGATCCTAACTGTTCTAACTACGATTACACCTTCTTACTTCCTTATTAGATTTTCTAAAAATTGTATAATGTATTAAGCGCTTAAGCCCAATTTATGGAGTTTATACTAGATCTATGCGTAATATGGCGGTCTGAAACCATGGAGTATGGAGGTTAGAGAGAAGGAGAACGATCTGTTACGATTCCCCAATGCTAGAGAAAACCCTTAGTCTTGGATAATAATTGATTACATAGATTTCCACTAATTAGTCATGACATCATCTAAAGGCAGCTCTGCTTCGCGCTCCCGGTGCACAGTCACTGCCCGGCCGCTGAATACCTAACATCTCTCTCTGTATCCTCGCGTGTCTGCCAGTTTCGACTCCGGACCAATTAAATATTGTAACTTTTACTATTTCTTAATTTTCTATTTTTAAATATTACTATTTCTTATTGTGAAATAAAAGTGTTTTTTTAAACCTAAATTACGAGGTCCCGTATAACATCGCTAGGTACTACGCATATCCCGCCTGTCCCTTAAAATTTGTCGGTAAGTAGTATCTGCGAAGTTAGCTGTTTATGAGTACAAATAGGTGAAGTTAGTTGAATAATGTACAAACTTTCTTCGCGGCATTGGTGAGAATAATCGTGCTCCGTAATTTTTTTACTGATTAGTAAGCTGAAGTGGCAATGGGCAGGCCATATAGCTCGAAGATCCGATAACCGATGGGGAAGAATGGTTTTCGAGTGATAGCCTCGTACCGGTAGGCGTAGTGTAGGGCGACCCCCCACTAGATGGAGTGATGACCTGGTAAGATATGCAGGAAGTCGATGGATGCAGGTGGCTCAGGACCGTGATTTGTGGCATTACTTTGGGGAGGCCTATGTTCAGCAGTGGACTTGTGAAGGGCTGTAATGATGATGATGATGATGTAATTTTTTTAATTTTTGACAAAAAGGAATATTAACAAACGGTGAAATATTGTATTGTGTGTGGATGTGCAAGTGATTTAGCTTCTGGTCGGAAAAATAGACAGAAAATGACTTTTATTGAGACAACTTAGCGATTGCAGCGCCCCACTTATTTTGTCCATATTTCTTTGACACTATTTTCTGTAGCGATCGTTCTCCTTTCAAGGAGAAGTCGTTCGACTTTCAAGGTGGTAAGTACAATCGACGCAACGCTAGATGGTATAAACACAAAAACCTCGAGTTATTCGTATTATTATATATTTTAAATATTTAATTAATTGGTTTATTCTTAAATTTTATTCCTAACAATACACAATTTCATCCTACTTTACATGTCTAAAAATAGGGATTATAACATTTATTTGCTACAAAATTAAACTTTTAACTATCTTATACTTATATAAGTTGGTTGCAAATTATCATATTAACTAAATCATTGGTCATGAAATCTTTTGTAATTGTTATTGTTGATGTTATTTTTTAGTAAACTCTACGAAATTATATTTTGAACTCATAGATGTAAGTAACAAATAAATATAATAAAATGTAAAATTATTTTAAATTTTGCTAACAAAACAATATTATTAAAAAAAAAACTTACTCTTATACACTGCGGTCTGCATTGCTTATTCGATTCGCCTGTTTATTCAGATCATTCGGGATTCGGTTGGTTTTCGGCTCATTCACAATTCAAACAAATCGCGGGTTAAAAAGGTATCAATACTTTCTCAAACGAACGAATCATGCATTGTTTTTTGGAGTTTATGGCCTGGTATCTTGACCTTTAGGCCAAACCGTAGACAGAGAAACCTATAGACTAATGATCGGCGTGACCTCGAGCGAGAAAGGACGATAACGAACTTTTAGGTTATACAATAATCTTTATGACTTTTAAACACATTTAGATAAAAAATTTAATTGTTCTAAGAACTGAACTGAACAAGATTCACCAATCTTAGGCTCACAAAACACTTTTTTCTCACTTAAACCAACTTGTAAACTCCTTAAATCGCTACGCTTTCAAAGTTGTTTAGCAAACTGTAGAGTTTGCTAAGCAAAAAAACCGGCACGGTGAAAGGGACAAACAATCACACCGCTCTATCTCATTTCTATGCAAGACGTATGCATAAATCTATCTTTTTCGTGTGCGAATGTGAAAGAAGGCGTCAATTTGCCTATAGGTTTCTCTGTCTACGGGCCAAACGAATCATGCATGATCGACATGTGCATAGGTTACTGAGTATATCTAGAGAGACGCATGTCAAAATGGTACGGTATGACCGGTACGTAGACAGAGATTTCTCTGTCTACGTACCGGTCATACCGTAGACAGAGAGATCATACAATATGCCATAGTCAGTAATCTATGCAATATACAAAGGTACTCTGTGGTACCGGTAACGTTTACCTTTGCCGTCGCTGTGTAAGGATTTGTTATTGTTATTATTGGTTGTTAGTTAAAAGTATTGTACAAAGAAGTGTGTAATTTGAATCTGAGTTCTATAAAAATTGTTTTCCTATCAGTAAAACAAAATGACGGATTTACCATATAGTGTGGAATACGCAAAGTCTTCTAGGGCTTCTTGCAAAGTTTGCAAGAACAAAATTGATCAAGGCGTATTACGAATTGCTCTAATGGTTCAGGTTTGTATTAGTCCGATGATTTTCTTTAAAATATTTGGATTTATTTTGTCTTTGTGTTTAATCCTTATTATCAAATTTATAATGCAACCCAACGCACCAGTCCATTTGCGGATTAGGGATTTTTTAAAAAAGATGACCGTTACTTAGCTGGAACATTTTGTGTCCCAAAAATATGTGCAAAATAAATCACACATGAGCAGATACATGATTAAATAGCGTCTGTAACCAAATTAAATAGCAATAATAAATTGTTATAAAAATGGGGAAAAAAGGAATTTATTGTTGTTTTTTTTTTGTACAAACTGTTCCATTTCGTCACTTTAACATGTTGATGGACAGTATTCGTTTACCGATTGCACTTGAAAATACACTTCTTTTTTCCATACATTGGCCATAGGCATTGTGTCACAACACTGTCAAAAATTACCTATTATGACACAACAGATATAGACGTAAATATCTCAAGACTGGTACTGGTACTGGCACATGAAATGTGAATTTAAGTGCATGATTTGCTAGAATGCCTGTCTTCAATATTCACAGTCAAACTACATTCATACGTGGCAAAATCGAATTCAGGTATTTCAGTAACTGATGTAGACTATGACTCTGTAATATGCGAAGTAGATGATTGATAAGATGCTCAAAGTTTGGCTGATTAGAGACCCTCTGGGACTCGGTTGCAAACATTTCATTATTTGAAGGCCCAGCAGTTATTTGTTCATCATATATATTTTCTTGACATTATACTGAATAACATGAAGTTCTGTTGTCCTTTTCGACATGATTCTGAACATCTTCACTATTTTGATGACATTCTAAGGAAGAACATGTAGTTCTATCATCATCATCACCCAAAGTATCAGAAGACTCACCCTAGATTATAGCCGCTGTTTCTTGCATGCAACTTGTTTGCGAACTTCCAACTGGGTCTTCAGAACTCAAAGATTCACTACCAGAAGGTCGGTAATCTTTATCTGATCCATATTCTCTGTCATCCGCAAACGGTTCTTCAGAGGAACCAGGAGTGGATGCACTGTAACTTTCTTCAAAGGGATCCATCTGAGAAGTAAATCGTTTTATTTACATACAAAATAAAACCCACATATAAGTACTAATAAAACAAAACAAAACATATAAAATTACATGTGGCTTACCTTTGCGAAATATTTGGTTGCAAGTGCAGGGTGAACACACATGGGGCACCACTGATGCGCATTACTCTACTGAATGTATGTAAATATGATGTCGAGGAGCATACTGTGCTTGCGGGGGGTAGACAAAATAATTGTTATGTGAGTAACCAGTCTTTTTTCAAATGTGTGTAAAACTTGACGATGTGACATTACAAATACAAAACTTGTATGTACAGTGACAGTATAAAATGCTGCTTCATACATTTTGAAGGAATCTGTAATGTCATATGTAAATGTACTGATGTTATAAGGGCTAAAACTCGAACTTCGACAGATGTTCTGTCATATCGCTAACTTTACCGCAATGTCTATAGGCGTTACTGTCCATTAACATGTTAAAAACTTCTTATTTGTATAATTAAAACAAATTTTTATTACATGTCCTTTTATTTTTTGTAGAGATTAAACATTTTTTTTAAATAATAGTACTTTGGTAGAATTTTCACATAAATATTTGAGTTATTTATCCTAAACCACCTATTACGGCACTTTTGTGACTTAACATCTTCCAAATTTCAATATCATATAGTTTAAATAAACATCAATGTAGTGGTAACAAGAGATATAATTGTTATAATTAAACATTTTATACAACTAATGAATACCAACATAAACTAAAATAGAACTACAACTAAAATTAAAATTCTAACTGAGAGAAAAGGTAGATTCACCAGAAACAATGACACAAAACACCAAGAAGAAACAGTTTACTGACAAACATATTGATGAGCCATCTGCAAATAATACACAAGAAATAGTAAAACCAAGCATACTCAATTATGCGACATGAGGTAAAGCATCATCGGTGTCTGAGCGAAAAACTTCAAAAACTAATAACTGCCTCCCTCAACTGGAATCCGGATAAGACAAATCAAACAACACAACAAAATAAAATAAAAACAATCAGAACCCCAAGCCGGCTGGTCACCGTGGGGTAAGAAGACCACAACCCTCCATTGAATAAAACCAATAATTATAAGATCAGAAAATCTGAAAATCTAAACTATGAATCTGAAGAGTTACACAACTTGAGAATATGCACCTATAATGTAAGATCACTATCATCAATGACAAGACTATTAGAATTAGATAATGCAATAGCCAAAATTAACTGGGACATCATAGGGCTCGCCGAAATTAAACAACTAGGGTACAGTATAGAAGAACATAACAAATATATTTTCTGTTACATTGGTAAGACATTGGGACTCCATGGTGTAGGTTTCTTAATAAAGAAAACATTGAAACAAAATATTCTGAGCCTCGTAGGCATATCAGAAAGAGTTGCTTTGTTAAATATGGCCTTCAACAAGGTATCACTGTCTATTATTCAAGTTTACACCCCTACTGAGAGCTCCAGTGAGGAAGAAAGTTTCCACATGGATTTACAAAAAGCGCAAGAACAAGCAGATAAGACACTACTGATGATTGGAGACTTAAATGCAAAAATTGGGTACCCAAAACATGAAAAACAAACTATCTGTGATGAACACATATTTCAGGAAGAGAAACTCTCGCAAATGGACCTGGATTTCTCCAGACAACAAAAAAAACGAAATCATTTCATACTAAGCTACAACCCCAAATTAATCACAAATTTAGAGGTTTTAAACAATATAAACTTCCCATCGGATCATAAAATGGTCAGATGTTCACTGAATCTCCGGACCCCAAAAATGAACAGGAAATCATTTGAAGTCCCAAATAATATGCTAAAGACTCCTAAATAAATAGAAACTTATCTAGAAAAACTTAAAGAAAATACAATAACACTATAAGAAACAATGAAGAACACAGAAAATGTACAAACTCTGAGCAGCGAGCTGGAAATAACCATCACAAATAGCCTAGAACAGGATAAAGCATTTAAAACTAGTAACAAAAAACCTAAAATTATTACCGAACAAACACAAGAACTGATTTTTACATGTACGGAACTCCTATCTAAAAGAGAAAAATCTAAAGAAATGAGACACGAATTAAAAGAACTATACAAGAAAACAAACGGAGCAATCGGGCAAGACCATGAAAGACATAGAAGAATAATTATAGAGAGAAATATGGAAAAATATAAAAGTTCAAAGAGAGCCCTTAAAGAGCTGTCAACACATGGATCCAACGCACGAGGAAACGAGAAACAGAGAAGATATAGTAAAGCGCGCAACAGCTTTCTACTCAGAGCTTTACAGAAGAACATCTCAAGATGAAACTCAAAAGGATGAACAACTGGAAAGTAAACATAAAAGAGAATCCCAACTGGAAGAAGCAACTTTAACTGATGTATGTGTAGTGTGTTGGAAATGAAATAGGTCCTTGTAAGAGATAGCGTTTAATTACATTTTTATTACGCGCGTAACAACAGTGCCGGCCCGATCGTCACTGACTCACAATTCAATTACATAGGTACTATACTAAGTGTATTAGTTACATAGGTACTTTTTAAGATACAATTAAATTTGAATATAGGAACAATAAGATATAGACAGAACCAGGTGACAACATACTGCTTATCAACTCGTAATGCACAAACACTTGGTATCACATTAACACTGAGTATTACATTTGATGCATCAGTAGTTATCAACGCTCAACTTACATGCATTTAACAATAACAACAAGTTGCAATGATAAAAATTAAAACATAGGTATATTACACATTTTAATTCATTTTAGTTAGAACAAAATTGCCACAAGTATTATAATAACAATTTTTGAATTTGCTTAAATTATTACAGAATATTTGCTTATACACTACTTACAAGCTAGACAAACAAAACAGTATGTCTGATATCGTCAAACCTCATTTTTTTCACTGTGTTACCCATTCTTTAATATTAAAATAATAGTTTGTTTATTCAGAGAATGTACGTATGTACTACACGAAAGTCAGCGCCGATAAGAAATAATTTTTGCTAATAACGCTAAATAATATTCATTGAGTCGACTTATATCAATTATAAAGTAGCCTAGTGGGTAGCAGAGCGGGCGATCAACTATATCCGCTCCGCTTATGTTAATATTACAGTCTTTTAAAGAAATATCCTTATCTATACTATTATCTACGTTCGTTACGTTTTGGCTATTGCTAATATAAACGGATTTAAGCCTATCTACAGATATAAATACATCTCTACCGGGCATTTATATTAGGAAAACTTTTCCTTTTCGTTCCAAAATTTTGAAAGGAATCATGTGGAGGTTGTAATCATTTTCGTACGAGGTCACTCCTAACAAAAACGTGCGTGCACAGCTATTTAAATCGCTATGAATAAATACTGTACGAGAGTCCTTACGTGCCGTAGGCAGGCCTCTATCACTCTTGCTACCTACGGGAAATAATTACCTAAAATCGCGACACGCCAGGGCGAAATAACGCAGTCATGGCTAGCGCGTTGGAGGCGATTGAATGTTAAAGTTTTTTATCGCTGTACGTGTTACATATATAACTTTTTGTAAATATTGTTGAAATAGTTTTTGTTTAGTGTTTTTTTTAATGTAATTTAAGAACTATATATTATGTATATTACCCATTATTTAATAAATTTTAATATGGCAAAACGTCGCTCCTACTATAATTGTTGCATGGATAGACGCTAAATGACCAACAAAATTTTCAGATATATCATTTTTTATTACCGAAGGATTTTAGTAGGAGGTTATGAAACGTGAATTTATTTAATGTTTATTGTTAGATAGGTACTTACAGCAAAAAAGAATTAAGTAATAATTTATTTAATATCTACGAACTTTATTACAAAATTTAGTGGAAATTTACTTCACTATCCAAGTATCTAAGCTAAAATAACACAAAACACTGAAATCAAAACTTTGTTTATCAACAAAATTTTTAACTAAGTAGAATATGATTAGATTTCTGTTAGGAATCGTATTTCAAGTTTATTTGTTGTTTACACTATCTACCTTTTCCTTCCGAGCCAAGCGTCGCGATTGCCGACGAATGGCCTTGCAAGTTGCATGCGTTAGGCATCGCAGAACTCACGTATGTGCAAAAATATGGCCTGTCGATCATAGTCAGAATAGGTATTTCACATAAGTAACCTAATTTAATATTTCGCAATGTATTTTGTTCTTTTATTATCTACTACTACTCTTTTTACTCTATTGATATCCCTCCATAACAACGGAAAGTCCACCATAACGTAGGAAGATTAAATGTACAAAGTAATACGGGCACTCTCGCGCAGCGATAAAGTTTTATTTAGCTTGCGAGCGCGATTTATTTAATTAATAATAATTATGTAGGCTATTAAACGTCGGCAAGCAGTCAACATTAAAAGAGTGAAACTTCTGTACGTATTACTATTATTTATTCTGTGCCGTAGGCTTAGGTTTCAGCTCGCTTATCATCTTTCGTGAACGTTCGACATATTCGCTGTGATTTAAAAATTTTGAATTACATTTATCACCAAAAAATCTCCGGGTGGCATTAAAGATTGACTGTATGTTATTTCGGCGGCACTAACGTCAGTATTTGAACGCGGGGCAGCTCGCAGTCCTAACAAAACTATAAGTAGTTTCTCAACCCAAGTCTTAGAATTCCACCTGGCCATAAGCGCAGCCTTAAGGGATCTATGCCACCTCTCAACCAGCCCATTGCTCTGCGGGTGGTACGGAGTAGTCCTGGTTTTATAAACACCTAAATATTTCATTAAATTTTGAAAAACATTGCTTTGAAACTGTCTGCCCTGGTCGATGGTAAGCTGAACTGGGTAGCCAAAACGCGAAATTCACCCCTCAAAAATTACCTTAGAAACCGTTTTCACGGATATATCCCTTACTGGAAACGCCTCTAGCCAACCGGTCTGTCGATCTATTATAGGGACCAACTATATTGACATGAATGTGGAATTTTTTTTCCGCCAACGAAAAGCTTCCTAGTTACGATGTATTATGCCTATAAACTTTAGCACGTTGACATGCAATGCATGACTTAGCCCATGTACCTACGTCCTTGTTCATATTAACCCAGAAAAATGTATCACTCATTAGCTTACGCGAGGTACGGATTCCGGGGTGGCTAAGATTATGAATAGAGTCGAAAGCTAAGCGTTTAAATCGCTCCGGTAAATATGGCTTCGCCCGCTTGGTAGACATTTCACACCAAACGGGTAAGTCGCTGCCAGGAATACATATTTGTTTAAAATTCCACTTATTAGGATTGCGTAGACTAACTAGCTGCTCGTCGTTACTGTGTGCACTGCTGACTGCTGTATAATCTAATACGGTCGGACAAGTTACGGTCTCTATCTTTGATAACGCGTCCGCTACTACATTCCTATCACCTTCAATGTGTTTAATGTTCGTAGTGAACTCGCTAATAAAAAGTAGTTGTCTCACGAGCCTAGGCAACTCATTTTTACTGTTTATTTTTGAAAACGCAAAAATTAAGTTTATGGTCCTAAAAATTACTAAATCTTGACCTTCAACCATATTTCTGAAATATTTCACTGCAAGATAAATAGCTACAAGTTCTTTATCGTAAGTGCTGTATTTCTGCTGAGTAGGCGATAATTTTTTCGAAAAATACCCTAGCGCTAACCATGTATTACCTACTTGCTGTTGCAATACCGCTCCCACGCTTGTATCCGATGCGTCCGTCATAAGTGCAAGCGGAGTGTCGGGTTCCGGATACGATAAGCTTGCTGCATTTTGCAACTTTGTTTTACATTGAATAAATGCTTCATTTGACTTATCAACGCAATTAATTTTAGTTTTGTCTTTTTTCTTAGAGTTTTCAAAAATTAATTTAACTCCATTTGATATTCCACATCATTGGGCAAATGTAAATCATAAACGTCGACCATACCCAAAAATCTCCTGAGTTCTTCAATAGTTACTGGTTTCGGAAAAGCACCAATAGCATCAACTTTATCTTTAAGAGGACGAATGCCTTCCGCAGATACCTCGAAACCAAAAAAATCTATTTTAGACTGCCCAAATAGGCATTTATTCAGGTTTATAGTCAAACCGCATTTATTTAATCGCTCGAACACGATATTCAGACGCTCTCTATGAGACTTCATATCCGTGCTTGCAATGATAACGTCGTCGGTATAAGTATAAAGGAAATTCAAGCCATCAAAAACAGTGATTCATAAACCGTTGAAAAGTTTGTGCCCCGTTGCGCAATCAAAAGGTCATGTGTGGGAATTATATAATAGACCGAATAGAATAGAACGAAAGGTGTTATTATGGCGGTCTTCTCTACGTCGTTAGGGTTGACCATTATAACATGATACGAGCGATTAATATCGATTCGTGAGAATATTTTTTTACCTTCCAATAAATATGTAAAATCATGCAGTCGCGGTATAGGGTACCTATCGAGTTTGGTTATCGCGTTAAGAGCTCTATAGTCGCCACATGGTCGTATTTGGCCGTGTTTTTTAGGCACAACGTGTAGAGGGCTTGCCCACGCACTTTTCGACGGTCTGCAAATTCCTGTTGCATAAGCCTAAACTCTTCTTTAACCTTTGAGTATCGGTACGGTGGTAACGGTCTTACTTTAGCGTGCACCGGTGCGTTAGTATCTATATGGTGGTATACCGAATGTCTGGTTGGTTCTTTAAATGAAACCGGCTTGGTGATATCAGGATACTGCGCTAACAAATCATAAAAAGGGTGACTGTTCTTGACAGAAAACAATAGGAGCTAAAACATTGAAAATCGTTACCACGTCAATTAGTTTGCGAGACGCTACGTCGACCAACAATTTATAATGCGCTAAAAAATCTGCACCTAAAATTGGCTGACGCACGACCGCGATAACAAATGTCCACTGATACGCTCTGCGCAACCCTAAATCAAAATTTAAAGTTTTAACACCATAAGTGTTTATATTCTGCCGTTTGTTGCATTTAAAATATATTCAGAACACCCATTACCACACGATTTAACACTCACCTTTTTTCGCGGTAAAACTGAGATATTGGCACCGGTGTCAATTAGAAAAATAAGGTTGCTGGACTTATCTCTTATGCTGGCGATGACTAGAAATGCCTATGCAACTATTCGCCTCCTCCCGCTGCACGGCATCTAGTTTCCCGTTTCCTCTGGTTTCCAAGTGCACGGCTGAAAATATTTCTGCGCCCTAGCCTTGAAGCGATAGTGGTAGAAACACAACCAGTTGTCACGAGAAGCAGCGCGCCTAGAAGTACGGCTGCGGCGACTTTGAGTCTGCGAACGG